AAAGGGAGGCCTTTTAATGAGGAATTTCCTGAGGTGTTTTTGCAAAAACCTGGGTTAATGAAATAGTAAATAAAATGAAAACATGCTTTGTTAAGTTAAACACACCCATTTAATAAGTTTTTTTTATTCCAATCCAATGCCGATACCTCCACTGAGTGCATAGGCTGATACACCATGGCGATTTTATTCAACTGATGAATGAATGAACCATATATCTTCACTGGAAAATTGATCTAGAAATAAGTAAAAATATCTTAAATTAAGTTTATTTTCCCTTAATTTAAATAGGTAAATGATGTAGTTTGACAATGGAATGAGTATTTTTACTCTTAAAATAAGATCATTAGATAATATGCACTTGAAATAAGACAATGCAATTGTGTTTTCTTATTTTAAATGTAAATTGCCTTGTTCCATTGGCAGAAATGTCTCCTTTACCTCCTAATTCAAAGAACAAATTCACTTATTTAGCTTTAGCCTTGACATAAACATTGTTAAAAAGGTAAAAAATCAACACAGATACTTTACTGTACTTTATATTATTAATTAACAAATAAGCAGCAAAAAAAATAAATAACTTTTTTATGTAAACTGCAGAGGTTAGGATCTTCGATATTAAATCACAGATATTGGATCATTACCTTGTAAGCAAAATGAAATGTTACAAGAATTCTGAATTCACAAACTACCAAAAATACATCTTGAAAGGAGCCAGTAGATATGTTTGCCTCAATACAGAAATATTTCGAACCAATAAAATGGAGTGACATCTATGTCTTAACCCGAGAGGGAAAGCTGAGGCAAAACAAATACTACTGCACAGGTTTTAGCAAGAATACCCTCCATTTCTTGAAAACAAAAACAGCAAAAGGATGCAATTTTTGCCCTTGTGGATGGAAAGAGGGTTGCACATTTCCCCGACCAGATTGATAAGAGTTCAATTTATCAGTTAACTCCAATAGTTGTGAAACTAATCAAACTGCTACTGCTACTCTGATTAGCTAAAAACTCAACATGGGACACAGGTACAGAATCAGCTCAAAGAATTGTACTGAATTCTTCTCTCATTTGCGAACACTTTCTACAGGAGCCTTCCCAGATCCATACGTGCAGTTTTAGACAATATCAATATGGCTTATGCTAGGTTCAATTGATCCAGCTAATTGGTCAGTATCTGAGTCAATATCCGATCCAGGTATTTTTTATTATTTTAATAAGTAGGTGACATATAAAGCCTAATTTTAATATATTTTAAAAATAAACTCTGAAAGATGAAACTTTATAACGTGCAATTAAACTAGAGCAAAAACACCATTAATGGACTTATTATTGGGGTAACTTTATAGAAGAAATAACTTAAGTTAACAATTCTAGATACCAAAGATAAATCATCACAGAGCCCGCAAAGAGTGACCGAAGAGTGAAAAAAACTTTTTTTTTTTTTTACACGGCCTTAAAAGTTCACAACATAATCTTATAGTAAAAAAGATTAATTTTGTTATTTTTCCCTGTATTCCATTAAAGGCTCCATATGATGCAAATTTATGTCATTAAACTATTACAGGCCCATCTTTGTAATATTTCGGGTTAAGCTGGTGTTTTGAGGAGTTGGTAAAGCTAATCCAACTGTTTGAACTGAATCTTTCTGTTAGACAGGAGTGGGAAGGAGCAGATGACATTGTCACCAGGTTTTATGACTTATTTTTTTTATCTTTTTACATTTGCATTTTTATGTTTAACTTTTGCTTTTAGCACTTTGAGATACTTATATATAAAGTGCCCTATACATTATCTTATACAATCTTATATACAATCAATTTTTTAGTTGTTTTACACTATTACCCGATGTTTCATTCATCGCTCTTTACGGCCACTCCCAAATTGAAAATAGTACATGTAACTTCCTCAATAGAATGATGTTGATCTGTCTCTCAAGCTAAAAAAAAGGATACTTGGATTAATTAGCCTAGCAGTTTAACACTGACTGGGAGACAAACCATTTTGTCAATTTTCACAAATGTGATCAAGATAACTCTGCTACACAGTAATAGCTTAAGTGTTACAATAACACCCTGGATAGTATACTGTTGGACTAAAAAAAAAAAAGTGCAACACAAAGAATTTGTCCTCTTTGTGTCATATAAGCAGGCTGAAATTTTATTGAGATTAATAACATTTTACTCTGGCCAAAAACAGTTAAAAAGTCTAATCAACACATTTGAAAAAAAAAATACACCCATCTGATCAAGTTCAACCAATGAAAATTTGACCTTTTTGGTCTCTAATACTACAGGTTCCTCTAAAATACACCATATGTAACACTTTTCTTGTGACAAGTTGCAACTCAAACGTTTGACAGATCCAGGAAACGTTTGAAAAATCCTACTGCTGATAATAGTTGGCTTATGGACTAAACTCAGGACTTTTTGGTCTCTGAAATAGGGCCCTGATGTACTGTATAACTAGTATGGTTCTTTTTTTTTCCCTATTTTTTTTTCCCGGTAAAGGCATTTCAGGTATACCATATAGGCAAGTCTGTTGCCTCCGTCTATCAGGGCACCTATTGTCAACAGCATAACTTATCCATACCATATGAATCCTGTAAAAGCAGAGCTTAAACAAGTTGATTGTTGTTAAAACTTTAATATTTGAGTTATTCATTTCAAACATTGAAAGTTTCATATGGAATTCTTGACAGTCTTCTCTCTATATTCCTTTTCCAATTGCACACAGTATAAGATATTTCAAGGACCTATTGCAAGTACATTTGGTTATTATGGCCTAGAGACACTGACATTTCAATATGTTCAAATATCTTACATACAAAGGCCTAATTTAGATTTTTTAACTTGATTAAGCACCAGCATTATGCTGGGAAATCGTGTATCTAATAAATAGGGAGATGCTTTAAATACAGAGCCTCTATTGTGCTGTTTTTTTTCCTTCACATTATTAGCAAGGGATGACAGTTTTATGTCTCAGCTCATGTTTCATGTACCTAAGCCAATAAGGAAAATATTATTATGGCTTACTTTTGAGATGTGTGAAATGAGTGTTAAACTAATTATAAAAGTTTTTGAATGAACCTGATGTTTTATTTTGCATTTTGTAGATGATTTCAATTGATATATATATCTTATGATGTTAAAGATGTACACAGTTTTTGAGTAAGAACAACTTTTCCCTTGTTGCTGCTCTGCAGCTCCATTTCATCCTTATGAAGTGTGCCTTTTGACAAAGTTTATCACTATCGGTAGAGCAATTTTACAAACGGCACTCCTTCCCTTTTCTGTTTTTTCTGAAATTTGTTGTTACCCCTCATCCACCCCCCAAAACCAATTATCTCCCCCAGCTTTGCACATTGGTTTATAATCCCAAAGCTTGCCACAGATGAGGCTTTTCTTTCACCATTGCTCATCGTTTTTCAGGATTGCAGAAGAAGGAGAAGAAGAAGATGAGCGTCTTGGGAAGAGCGTGTCTGATGAGACTAGGGGATGAAGAAATGAAGCAATTCGATTAGCGAGGCAAGCATTGGGTCGTAGGTCACAGAGGCGGGCTGAGTTGGACACCGCAGACAAATCAGCCGCTATTAATGGGTTTCCAATTTTAGAGCTGAATTATGCCATCTGTCTGCTAGGCCTCATTCTGTCACTTTGTGGAGGGCTTAGCATCCAAAATGCTTTTTGAGCTCTAATGACTTTTTTGGAAACAAGACAGGGTACCAAAAAGGGGTTTGCGAGGCTTTTCCTGCAAAATGTAAGACTGGAGCAAACTCATCTGGAGACAGGAAGCTCTTTCTTATGACCTTTTAGAGGACACTTAAAATAAAAAAATATATATATGCAGAAGCAACATCAAACTTTTTATTCATTTAATATTTGGAATTCTTGCTATAAAGGGTGTTTGTAGTCTTTGCTGGACAAGATTTGTAAAGCAACCTATTCAGTTGGTTCTCTGATTTCCTTCACAGTCTGTGAGTTAATCTTTATATTGTGTTAACATTTATTCTGCATTTGATTCAATCATATTCTTAAAATTAATGTTTAACACTTTTACCTCCTAGCAGCACACACCAGATAAGCCATTTAAATGATGGGTCACATCAAAGTTAAAGGCAAAATTGTCTTGATATTTATGGCACAAAAACCGAATTAATCTACAGTAGTGCACTAAAAAAAAAGACTCTATGCATATTATTCACAAGCTTTAGACAATTTATATCAACTTTGTAAGATTACAAGCATACATTTCAATAAAGGAATGGTTCCTGACTGACTTGCAAAACGACCCTTCCCAGTCAAAAGCCAGCCGAATGGTAGCCACTGGCCTTCTACTGGGTGTGAATTTTTTTTTACTCTAACTCCACCCTTTCACTGAATTACAGGGTCTGACCAGGAGATAATGCTTCTCTTTAGATCTTAATGTCCACAAATCATGACAGAAAGAATACTTAATTATTGATGTTTATAAATGAAATGTAGGGGGCTAGCCAAGGAACAGCCAAGGAAAGTGGTGGAAATTTTGAATGGCTATTACTGTACATGTTGTTGTGAGAGAAGCTCCTTCTTCCATGTTTTCTCTGTACTCTACCGAACTTGTGTCTACTTTTACATTTTGGGTTTTTTTTTTTTTTGCTACTCATTTTTAAAAGCCTGATTTGTGGATTAAAAAAGCTAAAAGTGTCATGGTCTTGGCGCTGATGGTTTATTTTATCGTTTACTCCTTTTCACCTAATTGTCCCGGCTGTTTATTAAGTTAATCTTGTCGACCTGGTTCCTGCTGCCATTTATGCTGCCTGTTTGCCTACCATCGGCGCCAGATAATCCAAGCTGTTTGGTGAGAGTAACTTTAGTGTTCTGATTATTTTTATGATTTTTTTTATCCTGACCTGATTTGCCCTTTGAGACTCCTGAGTTTTGCTTTGCCCCTGTCTACTCTGTTAGTCTTGTCTGTTCTGGACTGATTCTGCGGGCTTGCTGAACTTGGACTGTTCTTCTGACCTGAGCTTCGATTCTCCTCCGGTACTTCCTCGGCTCTTTGATCTTCTGGTCCCTTTACATGGTTCCGCTTCGACTCCGGCTCTGCATATTCCCTCACAGACACTGTTGCTCCTTGGCTGGCGTCAAATCTGCTCTTCACTAGGAACTCTGGGGGAAGCACCCGCCGCAAGCTGTGAACAAATCTCCCGTTCTGGGATTGAACTGAACTCAGAACCAGGTTAGTGACTTTTGCTTATCATCTTGGCCAGTCTTTTATTCTAAGTCACTATCCTGATTTCTATTTCAACAGAGGATCCGGTTTATCCGCCCCAGCTGACAGGCAGCCGCACGAGTGTTGTTGAATAAACGCTTGTTTGAAATCATCCAGATCTGTCTACTTTGAATATTGGGTCCAAGATTTCGAGCCCCTGACAAAAGTCCACCTTTGTCAGTAGATTCTTTCATCCAAACTGAATTTTCATACGTATTGAACAGCACAACAAGGGATGTTCAATGCCTCACATATTGTGTTCGAAATGTACTGTTCTTTAAATGTTTTTGAGTGTTCCTTTGTCAAAAGTATAAGGCTTCTGAAAATGGCAGTTATACTGAGATTATATTTAACACAGGGGAATTACGAAATATCTTGTAAAGACAATTATACCACTTTTTTTTTTTAGTATAAGATTCATTGGAAATAAAATGGATTCTACATATTTTAGAGTTTTATAACCAGAGACAATTTAATTCTACATTTTTTCCCCCTTCTGCTTCACAGTTATATACTAGTTGGTATTTTCTATCCTACACATTCCTAATAAGAATACTTTGAAATGTTAATCATCTTTCATTGCACTGTAAATATAATCTGGACACAGTTTAGATTTTGTTTAAAAACAGCAAACAATGTAAATGCAGTTGTGCAATTTCTCTCTGACCTTTTTTTGATTTACAGCTGTTTAAGTAAAAGGCTGAGGTCTGAAATGCTAACACTTACCAAAGAGACTTTGCACTTGTTGGCATAAAAGACAAGATGACAGGAAAAGCAAAGCTTTTAGAGTGTGTGATGTTTGGACGGCAAGATCACTGGAAAAGAGTGGTGTTGAAAAATAAAAAATTCCATAGGTTTCAGACCTACAGTAGAGTCCATTTCTGATTTCACATGTTTTTAATCTTGTAAATTATTATCTTGTATATTATAAAAAGAATATGATATTATATTTATGATGCTTGTTAATACCTGCCAATTAGTACCTGCCTCACTCTTCACCAGTCTGCCTCGGTTATACTCCCGCAGCAGCGTGTCGCAGTGAGCATGTCGCAGATATTTTTTCATTTATGCCAAGGCAAAAAAGACCAGGGATCCTGGTGGAAAAAGGGTCCCCGTGTTCTATCTGGTCCATCTTCATTAGTCATTTTCCACAATGGCGGTCATATAAGCAAAACAAGCCGATACGGTACCAAACAGGAAATACACATAGTGTAGAGCGGATGTAGCTTTGACCAATCAGAGGCCTCCTGCTTGCAGCCCTGTCTGCTTTCACCTACAATTTGGGAGAGGTGCACCAGGGTGTCTGCAGAAGTTGCAGGGTTATATTTGCGTTCACTGCGACACACAGGCAGATGACCTGGTTTCTGAGTATAAACCAGCCTTTAGTGCTTAGGGTTAGTGCTTATGATTAGTGATTAAGGGACAGTTTAGTCCAGCATTGCTGTTACCTGTCTGCCTGGCTGATTCTGCTTCCTGGTTCTCTGAGTCACCTTGTTCTGACTCTGGACCGGCTCTTGGATTTGGAATTCGGTTTGTCCCAATGATCATTCTGCCTGTTTCTGCTCTCATGGATCTGACCCTGTGAATTTTCTTTTACCAATGGGTAACTATTAAACAAGGTTACCTCCAAATCTACCTTGACGGATTCAATAATCCTTCAAAGTTTACCAGTGATGTCAGACTCTTACCGACTTTTTAAGAAGCTCTCAAAGTTTTTCCCCAAAATCCTAGAAGGTCAGTGTACCAAAATTAAATATTGGAAACATTTCCTTCTGTTTCTGCCTGGTAACTCAACTGTCTCTTTCCAGACATTCCAGTTGCTGACTCTGCTGAATCCCTCCTAACCTGCAGCAGTTCTATATTTAACAAAACGGTTCAAATGTCAACTATTGTCTCTGTTTGAATTCTTGGTCTTCCCTTAACGATCAAAGGTCTGAGTAACCGGGCAGGCAGAATTCCCTCCAATGCAGTCTCACTCAGAGTCGCCAAAAATTCCAGGTTAAGCTCCCATTGTGTCTCCAACAATGCATGAGGAAAACACGATGCTCATTTGCTTGCTTCTGACTTGGAATGTGCTTCGGCCTCATAGAGTTTGCTTTATTTTTTTAGACTATACCTTGTCCTAGTGCAATCCAACAGAGTGAATAAAGATACACGAGGAAAGGTGTTGAAAGGTTATTTATAAAATGACTAAAAGTCCAGTTGGCTCAAATTTAAGCCAGTTTTGTAACTAAGAGTTTTTTAAAATAAACTAAGCTAGTTTGGACACAAAAACAAACCTAAGTACAATTCAGAGAAAGACAATTAACCTAACGATCATGTTTTGGACCATGGAAAGAAGCCAGGGTACCCAGAGAGATCCCAGGCATGCAGAAGGAGAAGATATAAACTCAAACCTGAAAGATCTTTGGATCAAACTCAGGACCTTCTTATGGCAAGACAACAGTGCCAAAACCTGCAGCACCATACAGCTTGAAGATAAATAAATAACAAATTAAAATAAATACATTATGAAAGTTTTTCAAATCACAGGGATTTATTTTTCTACTTTTGAATGAAAAAATATCATCAAGGGGGGGATTGATAAATGGAGGGATTAACTGGAGCAAGCTAATGAAACTCCATTAAAGAGCCATTCAATTAAAAGGCCTTTTGTTTTCATCCATGTCAAAATGTTTGTTTAGTCTCAGCATGACTGTGAGAGTAAATATCACCAAGGTCAGCCAGACCCAGGCTTCAGCTTGTCACTATGGGAACAGTATGAGCTGTCATCATGAAAAAGGTTTATGTGAACTGCTTCCTGTTTTCACTTGATGTATCAGTGATGGGACACAGAGTAAGAGAAACATTCAGCAGAAAAATCTCCTCTCATGTTTGTTAAAAATAAGCTGTGAGCTTACACCTTTCTTTCTGTTTTCTGACTCATTTTAAAGATAAACTGTGAAGTTTTACCTTTCTTGCTGTTTTCTAAGATGCATATTGAAGGAAAAAATTATTTAGATTATTGGTAATGCTAAACAAACCTCAAATGTATCGAAAAGGAAAAATGGTTGTTTTGTTTGTATAAAATCAAATCATTCTCATTGTGATATTGTATATACTTTCACAATGTTGTTACTAAAACCCAAAAGCAAAGAAGGGCAAATGTAAAAATAGAAATGTAATGTAAATCCAATGTGAAGGAAGGGTATTTGATATAAGTTGGGTTGGGTGATGTTATTCAAAATATTGATGTATTGCAGATTTACAATGTCTACAATGGCTTTGTGGAGGCAAATTAGTAACTGTAGTGGTGACAAAGAGCTATTTGCACCTAGTTCACTGTAGGCTTTGTTTTTTCGACAGGGTGCTTATGCAATGCTCATTGAATGTATCCCTTACATCAAAAGAATATCCCTCACTCAATCACCACTCAAACACCACATAAATGTGTGCATTTTTGCATGTAAATGGGTAAATTGTCAAAGTATGGAGAAAGCAACAGTTGGTGAAATTAGTGGGAATCCACAATTACAAAGGGAAGAAGAACAAATCTGATAGGTTAGTTCCAAAGATAAACTGCCTTAATGGCTCATATGAATGATTTTAAACAACAAGCGACAATTATCAAAATATCAAGCAAAACCCTCCATCCAGTTTTGTAATTTATCTCTTGAAATTAGTCCTTGAATAAAAAGAACATGTAACTTTATAATCCCTCCCCCACCCACCTCACCACCACAACATAGACTCATTATCTTCTTGCTTTATGATGTTAGGAACGTGTGTTGATTTCCAACTGATTTTCAATAATTTCCTATGTTTCAATGCCTTAACCCCGACAATAACTTAACCAATGCCTAAACTCACTTCAGCCTAAACCTGTTAGCAAAGAGGAAATTAAATTGGAAAAATGGCCCTCACTCTGATACCAAGACAGAGTGTAGTACACACTAAACAAAGACAGCATTATGTGAATCAAATAGGAGATTTACAAAGTGATTCAATATGCCTTTAAGATTAGGGAGTTTATTTATTTTTTATAAATATTCTTTAATAATAAAAAAATAAAAATAAAAATTAGGGAGTTCAAAGAAAAAAAAAATTGGAACATGCTCCCGTTAGCCTTGTGGATACCAAGGATTCAGAAATCTTCTTATACCTACTGACTGAAAAATGGCTGTGGGAAGTGGGGGTAACCCCCTAGTGGCGAGAGGGAGATTTTGAAAAAATTTATTAAAATACCTTGCACAATTTATACATCTATACAAAGTATTTCGCTTCTTTTTATTTTACTATTATGCATATTTGGAACTTTATTTAATAATTTTTAGGCCTAATCAACACAAGTTCATGGAAGTTATATTGTAATAGCAACGTCAAACAAGCTAGTGGTCGCAAAGAAAAGAGGCATCCTGCTCACAACAGCAGACAATTACATTTACATAGTCTAATGACAGAAACAAAAAGGAAATAAGGCAAATAAATACATTTTAGATTTTTTTGGAAAACCACCACAAGTGAAGAAGAACACTAGACACAACAACGGAAAGCAGCTGGAGTGAGGAGACTGTCCGCCCGCCTCTGATTGCAGTTGCACAGGCAGCCCCAGCACCTGCAACCCAACCTAACGAGTAACCAAGGCACCCTGCCCATACCTCAATGTAAGAGCACGGTCCTGCTGAGCAATTGCATCTCTATTTGTGCAGTTTAACATAGCCATAGTATTTTAGAAAGTGTTACTTTGATCTATTTTGATACTGTTATCTTTGTGTGATGGATGTGAAGAACGGGTCAAGTATGTTCAAATAATATAATTATTTCCTTGTGGTTTGTGTAAAAGGATTTTGGAGCTAATAGAGTCACATGTGGTATAAACATAGTGATTCAGTTTCATGCCAACTTACCAAATCTTCGCTGTTAAAGTGTTGTTGTGAAGTTTAATTAATAGCGCATATATTCAGCTGAGAACTGATTATGTCTATGTGTTACACATCCTGATTGCGTGCACTAAAATGTATGAAAAATAATGTAGTAAATCTTAATCTATTCATTTATTTTACTTTATTGTATTTTAAATAGGCCTATAGGTTCATAGTTCTTTAGTCCCCTAAAAAAAAAACTATTTGCACAGCATCCATCTTTCAAAATGACTACCAGCGTTTCACCAGCATTGAAGTATAACTTTACTAGTTAAAATTTTTTTGCTGACAAAGCACTGCAAGAGTTGGACATATGATTACCAGAAAGTTTATCCTTGCAGCTAACAAATGTAAGCTGCTATATATACTTTAATAAATCAGGCTACAGTGATTTGACCACCAAATACAGCCAATCTGGTTTAATTTTTTTTTTTTTATTCTGTAAGATGGAAAAAAAAATTACATATATGGGGTTTATTCACCACAACAGTTTAGAATTTTTTTTATCTGTGTACATGTTTTTCCATTCCTCAAAAAAATTAATGCATGTTATTTTCTTAGGCTACTTTTCTTAGGCTATATTTTAGGTATCAGGCTGAGTGACTGCTTCTCTAAGTTATTGTCTAAGTATTTTTCTCTTTATTTCAGTGTTGGAGAGAAGCATGAAAGACGCATGATTTTGTTCTTCGCAAAAAGAATTTAAGCAACCTTTCATTCAGGTAGAGGAGGTGAGACCATTCCAGTTACTAGACAGAAAAAAAGGGACCTCTACTTCATCTGATTAGTGAGTCTCACCAGGGGTCGAGGTACAAAACTATTGATTGGGTACTGAGCAATAGCAAACCATTCCTCAGCTTTTGGCCTCAGGCAAAAGAGAAAGACAACTTCTTCTGCCTTTTTAAGGCCACAAGGCTTTGTCTCATAAAATTGTCATATAGTAATTTTGTGTTTCAGGGAGCATTATATTGTTTTACAGAAGTAGCAATTCAAATTGTCCCCACTTTCATTAATGGGCCCTTGGCTGGTCCTCTACAATTAATTTTTAAACATCAATCTTTTTACCAAGGTATTATTTCTGCCATGATTTGTGGACATTAAGATCTAAAGAGAAATGCTATCTCCCTGTAATTCAGTGAAAGGGTGGAGTCAAAGAAAAAAAAAAAA